TCTAGTAGTCTCTTGGTCAGCTTCTCATCCTGGGGGTTGGGATTCTGGTAGAGACTCTTGGCAAGGAGGGCGGCGGTATTGGCGACGAAGTGGTTTGAGGTCGGTACGCCACTACTCTGGAAGAAGTGGTACAAGTCTGTGTAGTTTGTGATGTCGTACTCGATGGCCTGTCCCCCCTTCTTGTGCACCATGACGAAAGGGACTCCTTGTTTGGCGTAGAGATGTTCCTTTGGGGTGTTGATCTGGTCAACCTTGAGATCCGGCCGGGCCTGGTAGTGGTTGATCGGAATGTCTGACTTTTCCACTAGTAATTAAAGTTCTTTGGTATGACCTCTTTTATCCCTGCTGACGTTATCCTAATGTTCAGTCTGCCTCACCCAGCGTAAGAAAGCATTGTACATGTTCTGATAAACCATATTGATGCAATTAAGCAAATGAATATTTGCTGTGGGCAAATATCTATTTTCTATATATATATTTGTTGATATGAAGCATTCTAGTTAATTGTGGATACACTGGGCAGACAGAATTGTGTTTATTTCCAGGCCATCCTGATCGTAGTTTACTACTATAAGGTGTATGTTTTGAGGCAAGATCAAAGGCGCCGCACAGCATTTATTAGATAACAGACGGGGTCGTCCGTTTCGCTTTAAACAACCACCCCACCCTGTCTGTAGGAGTTATATAATCGGTGCGCAAATAACTGTGTCAAGTCCACTGCCGGGCTGATGCGGTGTCAGTGTCAGCGATGAACATGAATGCTCAAATTATAGACCTGTAGCACTCACAAGTTGCTCAGCCAAAATATTTGAAAAGTGTATATTCAATTCTCTGATAACAGCAAATATAACCTTAGAAATAGATTCAACATACAAACAATCAAATGTAGAACACAGACCTATGCTTAATAATAATTTCTTCTGGATATGATCAACCTGCGGAACCCTCTATCCGACGAAGTAACTAATGCTCGCTCATTAAAAGAAATCAAATCATTAATTAATCGTTCTGATGCAATTACTAATAATTTTGACTTCAAATATTTTCATAGATCATGCCGAATTGTCCACTGTCGCCTTAGGCTCGGCTGCAGTGACTTAAACGCTGATAAGTTTAGACGACATGTATCAGACATACCAGACTGCACTTGTGGATATCACCTTGAAGATGCAATTCACTTTTTCTATAACTGTCAAAAAATACGATAATATCAGAAACATTGTGTATTTCTACACACATGGGTATGGTCTAAAAATGATATTACGTGGCAGTAGTTAAGCAGTTCTACAAACATGACTCTTCTTAAATCAGTTCACGACATCATTGTTAAAAGCAAAAGGTTTGAGTAGCTTAATTTTATGCATGTAGTAAAGGAAAACTGCATTACCTTATTTCACAGACACCACTTGCTTCAGTGTATTGGCTTCGTGTATTTCATTTGTGCATTTTGTATGTTTATGTTCATCACTCTCTTATATATATCCAGCTGTTGTTAAGTTGTTACCTGGAGTGGTATTACATAAGCAAGTTTTGCTTGTTTACCGATCCAGATTTCTTTTGAAATAAAAATACGTTTAAGCCAACACAGCTAACCCTAAAACACATGATTGTAAACTATTCAAATAGGGGCTTCTTCTCGGGTGTCGGACTCAAACTCAAACTCATTTATTCTTAGAATAACATGACATACAATTATCTACAATTTTTATTATGTACAATTTAACAAAAATAATAAAAATAGGATACGTGGATACTAATACAATTTACCAATTGTATTGTACACATTGTTAAGGAATTTAGATAGGCCTTTTAGATTTCTTACACTGTTAGTGGTCATAATTTTCTTAAATGTTTGGAAACTTAAGATATTGCTTATTTAAGAGTTCATATCGCCGTTGGTGAAAAGCTTCACATTGGAATAAATAATGCAATTCATCTCCCATAACGATAGATTCACAGAGTGGACACTGGCTGTCTTCCCTGGGAATGTTCAGCCATCGACCTGTATCAACTGGTAATCCTTGGTTAGAAAGTTCTGACTTTAATTTTGAGAGCAGTAGATATTTCGCAAATGAAGGTTGATTCTTCAGGTAATACGACCTTTGGATTTCCGCTTGGGCTTTCTAGCTGCCGTGAGTCAATTTGCTCGTTAACGCAACCGAGCGTGACAAGAGACTGGGCTACCAGTCTGCAAGGACAGCTAAATAAGCTTACGCATTTTTGAAAACTGATTGGTTACCCGTGATCTATGAAGATTTCAACAAAGGGCGCATGGTAATTAATTTCTTCAGCCTAAACAAACAGACAAATAACGGCGAAAGCTCATCGGATGTCGTTATTTGGAAATAACCCTGATGGTTACAGTTTAATAATAAAAAAGTATCCCTGAGTAAAAGCATTTGCGGATTTCGGATTGCGTGGATGATACAATTACTACTCCCTTGTTGTCATCCACATTTTCTGGTATAACCCTACACTTGTGTATTTGTCGTAATTCACTTGCTGCTCAGTTAATGAATTTATAACATGTATACTTAGTTGTAGCATCACTCAGATTATAAAGGTTCAAATTTGGTCTTTCTTGTACCTGGGGTAATTATTCAATCTAAATCCAGGTTTGAAGTGAGGTGGAATGTGAGTTATGTGATACGCACGTGGCAACCCAGCAAGAGATGTATGGTCAGTTGCTTTACTTGTTTTGTAAATCAACTGATCATTCCCAGACATCAAAGGATCAACAGGAAATACGTTGATTGATTAATTACTGTTATCTTGCACAGTGGATATGTCAAAAGTAAGTGTGTACATGTGAAGGTAGGTTTACTAAACCTAGGCAATACACTCATATCATGGCGTGAAGTACAGATGTAAAAACAACATACTTTGTTCAAAGGGTAACCGATAATACACTGACTGGTTGTTCATTGTTATCTAACTCAATGTATGTTTTTAAGAACCGAGGACATTATAAAAATAGTTGTCACGTGGGCTTTCTCAGCTAACTTGGCACCTATGTGAAACAATTGAAACAAACTAAGTGATCAGTTAAGAAACAAACACGGGTTATAATATCCGATACATTTAAATAACGTTTAAAACGATATATTTAAATTTTTTAATATATTTCATATATATTCCAAATATTGTTTCCAAATAATTATTATTAAAGTATTTGATTCTCACATAGACATTTGACATCAAATAAGTATTTTTGTACAGCTGCAGACGCAATGGATATTGTTCCTTTATGTTGATATTCCCGGATACATTATAACTTTGGTAGGTTGTAATAATTATATTTGCATTTTGTTTTCATTCATTCCCTGCAGCTTTGAACAGAATCATTCTTGTTCCTTTCCGTTTGGTTGGGAAGTTTTTCGAGGCGCGATAGACGTTGTTTTCACAAGTATTTTCTTTTGTAAGCGTGTATATGTTACAGTCAATGTGTAAAATATGATTCACTCAGGCAATTTATTAAATATCTAAATATTTCAGTCATTTTACAAATTGACTGAATAATCCATTCATTTATTTAACCGACAGACTAAAAATGATAAAGACGATCAAAAGAGCTTAAACACATCACAATATATTAATTATGCTAAGAAAAGAAGCCCAACAATACAGAACTGTACTTGGTGATGATATTAAACATAAACAAATATTTGGAATTCGTTATCATATTAATAAAGATGGACATATTTTTCAGTTAATTTGTAAAATAAACTGAATATTTAGGCGTTTAATAAATTGCCTTAGTGAAATATGTTTACATTTTTGAATGTAAACATATACACACGGTAAAATAAGCAATGTTCAGATGAAATATTTACTTTGTGTTGCAAGTCAAAATAGTGTACACAAAGATCGCACAATTACCAAGCAATTGACTTACCAAAACTGCATCACCATTACCGATGCTCCCCACAAATATACCTACATTTCCAAAACTGTATTTCATTTTTGTTGATCAATGTGACCATACGTCCTTCTACTTTCAATAAAAATGCGCTTACGAATGGCGAGCACAGGTCGCGAACAAGTCTAGATTTCTGCTATATCATCCGGGTACTCACTGGGAAAATACAGTAATGCACAGGTAACCACTACTCCCGCGGAATTGCTTTGTACGTTGAATTACTATATATTGTGAATGCCAAAATGATGTATCAAGGATCAAGTAGAAGATACATTGACCGTAGCGCTGGGAGTTTATTCAACAGACCCGTGAAAATAACACTGCTGTTTCTTACTATTTATTTTAGATGACGCAGTCAAAGCTCACTTCTCCTGGCGGCCATTATCGAACGGCCAGCTAAAACACAACCCCGCGCTTACGTCTACAGGTCTCTTCCTGTAGTACGGTAATTAGTATTCTCTCCCTCAAGTGTATCCTCAATGATATAGCCCACCCTCATTAATTACATACTGCTCTTTCCCAGCCTCACGGCTATGGAGCTGAGATAAAGAGTCCAAGTCATCATAAAGTAATTAGGGTCCAATAAAAACAATGCGCCGCCAAACCTCATACATATTATCACTGAAAGTCGTACTACCGACGGTTAATGTCAAATCACAATAAAAGCATTTCAATTGCAATAACATGTTCCAGGACCATCGGATTTAGAAGCAATGGTCGTATAAAACAAGACAGATCTATTTAAACACAACAGTATTCATGTTATTCCCACAAAATCACATAAAGAAAGGAGACATTAGCAAATACATGTGTATTATCATTTTTCGTCAGGATAACAAAATTTTCTCTCCTTGTTACCACCTCCAGGTTCAGCTTATGACGGGTCCTCCTTTGGTCAAAAGTTTGTTCCCCCTCTTATGAGTGTGTCACGCGTTGCACACGAGTGGCGGACGGGGTGCACACCCGTGTGCAACGCGTTGCACACGGGTATCACACGCGTGACCAACCCGATGCACACTGGTTGCGTAACGCGTTGCCCATGCGTGTAAGGGGAATGAACTTCTAGGCAGTAGTGTATGTCGACATTCACAGACGGAATCCGACATCAAGTCTGCAAGTCTGAAGGCAATACAAGGGATGAAACTCAAGGAACAAAAACTTCTTGATCAACTGAGAGAGATGTCAGACAAACACATCGGACAACTGAAGGCAGACATTAAGTCAGGTGAGATGTCAGTACAGATGTACCAACAACAGGCGGTGCTGATTGACCAGGCTCTACAATCTGAGTGTGACATGGATGTGTATGAGATGTATCAGGGATGTGCGGCGGATGATGTGGAGGCTGTCGGAGATGCAGATGTGAAGGAGATAGGAAGAATAACCAAGGTCACATTCAGACAGGACACGGACAAGCTGAGTAAATCTCTGGACGATCTACAGCTGGGTGAGATAGACGTCATGTATGAGAGTGTGCTGGACCTGAAGGCTACTCCTGTGTTACAGGACACCACTGACGTCAGAGTAGCAGGCGACAGTAACAGACCAGACCCGAGTGACGTGACAGTGATGGTGGTGAATGACACAGATACAGTTTTAGTCACCGACTACTACAACCAGAGTGTGAAGTCCTTCTACACCAGGAATAACCAGACACGTCACAGTAAACTCAGTCTGGGTGGTAAACCATGGAGTCTCACAAAGTTGACACACAACCAGGTGGCCGTCACTGTCCTGAACATCAAACAGATTGTAACAGTAGAAGTCAACCCTGACCTGGTGCTGCTGTCAACCATCACAACCAGCAAACAGTACTGTGGTATAACGTCCTTGACACCATCAACACTAGCAGCTAGTTCCCGGTCTCCCCCCTCTGTTGACATCCTGGATATGACAGGAAACGTGCTGAGGTCAGTCAGTCCACGCCACTATGGTAGCAAGATCTTACAATATCCAAACTTCCTCTGTACTACGAGGACAGGAAACATCCTGGTGTCTGACGGTGGAACCGAGTGTGTCCTGTGTCTGACCCCCGAGGGAGATGTGGTGTTCACCTACTACAGCCCTATAGGAGACACAGCACTGATGTCTCCCCGGGGTATCACAAGTACCAGCACAGGCGACATCCTGGTGACAGACTACTCTCCAAACAGAGTCATCCATCTGACGGAGTCAGGACAGTTTGTCAGAAACATACTGACACAACAGGACGGTATCAACCAGCCCCAGGGTGTGTGTGTAGAGGGACATGGCCACGTGTATGTTTGTCTCATTAGCGGAGTTATTAAGGTGTTCACATGTAAACACTGACAACGTGTGTTTGTGACATATATATGTGTATAGAACTCTCTCAGGTTCCTGTCGTCTTTAGGAAGGAATTCATGAAAGCCCAAACTGTATGATACTGATTATCCACAAGTTGCCTTTTGGATAACGAGATGTAATTTAGGCTATCTCAGAGCTGTTGTTTGTGTCAACCTGTGTGGGGTGTGTCAGAACCTAGAAAATTTGAAACATTGCAAACCCAAAATCACAGCATAATGAAACGAAGTATTATTTGTGTGAAAATAACTAAATGCCTTTAGTATTCTTTTCCCCGTTGACGGTCATACATGTGTTGATTTTACTTGTATGTGTTATAAAAAGATATGTTGATAGACCTGAAATTGGATCTGTATCAATATATTTTTAACGTTCTACAAGTGCTGTTTTGGACTGTCCATGTTTCTCTCAAAATACATCAACATAGTGAAGTAATCAGGAGGGCCAAGACGCGTGGTGGACGGTCATTCATTTTTAAATTTTACTTTTACGTGCTATTAATCAATGTCGATAGACCTGAAATTTGATCTGTGCATATATATTTAAAGTTCTGCAGGTTCTGCTTTGGACAATTTTGGTAATTTTAGAAACGGCTTCTATTCACATCTATAATGATTCATACTTCCATACTTTAAGAAGTGTTTTTACGCCACTTTAAACAGTAGTTCAGTTATATTAAGGCATGTTATCTTCATGTGGGAGGAGAGCTAGAAGTGATAGAGACCTGAGACATTTATTAAGTTTGTGAAACCCACCAACCCACGATCGTATGATCCCAGCACGCTCTGCACAGTGTATTGCAGCTTTAAATGGGGTGTTACATAGTGTTCAAGATTACTTCCCTTATCAGTGACGTGTGTGTGGCTGCATGTATTGTCCAGACTTGAGCCAGGTTTATATTGTTTGCCTTCTAAGATACAATGCCGCAGTTTAGCATGGATACTCCACTCAGACAGATTATGCTTACTCCGAGCACACCAGTTTTTGTTTTATCCCCTTGAGGCCGATAGGTATGTCATCTTCTAGAGTATTTGTGTATGATGCGACCAGGGGATCGAACACTAAGCTCCTGCTCCCCCCACTCCACGACCGGTGATGTTTTCAACCAGTTGACTGCAATGGTATAAACATATCATGATGACGTCATGGCAGATGGCGACTCACGTTCAGGTCCCAATATATCAATATAATCAAGGATCTCCTGATATAATCACCGAATATAACCATGGACTAATCAATATAATCAAGGACCTACAATATATTCAAGGACCTACCAATATAGTCAAGGACCTACCAATATAATCATAGCCCTCCCAATATAATCAAAAATCTCCCAATATAATCAAGGACTTATCAATATAATCAAGGACCTCCCAATATTATCGTCTCCAAAATGATCACAGGTGATGCTTGGTATAAAAGACACAATTCAACAGTGATAAAGCATGGACCAACTTTCCATGTTACAGACAAACAGCATTTTTGTCTTCTTATTTTCATTGAACTGTTTAAGTCCGGGCATTTACTCGAGGCCGGCGTTAAGTCCCAACTTTCACTTAGAAAACTACACAGCAACAGCCTGGTCTTGGAGCACGACTACATCTACTATAATATACCACGGTACTCCTTGCTAGAGATGTTATCAAGAGAAACAAAAACACAATGCCAGCTGTTTGGGGCAAGCTATTCTCCTATGGACCCGCCCTGCAGATCTGAAACTATGTCTGTATATGTGCAACACTGAGACAGAAATATGTCAGCATCAAGGTCTTGTAATACATCACATGGTTATATTATGCAACCAATGTTATCCAACTTATTATATCTCTATTCTGTAATGAATAACACCCCAGACACATTTGCCGTCAAAGCTTCGTTTCAGTAGTGACATGCCCATCTCCATCTCTGCTATTACTAAGACCACATCCTGCATGCCCTCCTCACTGACAGACACCCCTGTCTTCCCCTCCAATCACCATCTCCTCCTCACTGACAGACACGCATGTCTTCCCCTCGCATCAACATCTCCTCACTGACAGACACCCCTGTCTTCCCCATCTGGGATTTGAACCCACGATCATACGATTCCGGCACTCAGCTCTGGACATCGTGTTTAGTAACTCTTCAATCCATGAAAATATTGGGCTTCGGATCCATGGAGACTACAGAAGCTATTCCCCTCCTTAAAACACATCAGTACCGTAAATACTTTGAGAGTTGGCATACTGATGTTTGCAACGTTGAATAAAATTAACCCATCTGTGAAATCAGAACTATTTTGAACACTCATAGAAATGAACTATACTGAGTCAAATTAAAAACTTCACATTTTTAAAAGTAAACCCATATATGATATTCAACGGACAAATGCATCAGAGAAGGTAATTTTTAATCATAAATGTCCAAAGAAGGATTTTAATTAACGGTGGTAACCATAATTTGTTCCAAGCACCTACGGTATTCGGTAATAACATCAACAGTTTAAATCATAAGTCCCAAGCACGAGAATCTGATGGCACACACGTTCAGTAGCGTGTATGGCCACCATGTGCGTTGACAACTGCCACACAACGCCTCCGAATGGACCTGGTGATGCTTGTGAACACATGATTGGGAAGACGACGCCATTGTTGCTGGAAAATGGTGCCAAGATCTTGCAAATTCTGTGGTTGGTTTGAGGTCGGGGGACCTGGACGGCCAGTCCATGACGTTGACTCCCGCATTCTGAAGGAAATTCCTTGTCAAATTGCTGTGTGGGGTCTGGCATTGTCGTGTTGGAAGATCAAATCTGGTCCATGTGCTGCCATAAAAGGCAGAAGCTCTGGTGCCAGTACCTGGTCGCGGTTAGCAGCAGCGTTGAGGTTGCCACGGATGACAAGAAGCCTGGAACGTGCATTGCCACAGAAAGCACCCCACACCATGACACTTCCCCCTCGAAATCTGTCAACTTCCTGTACACAACACTGGGCGTAACGTTCATGACGTTCATGCCTCCACACTCTCGCCCTACAATCATCTGTCGTAAGTGTCGCTGTGCCCACAATTGACGTTGACGTCTGTGTAATTGACTCAGAATCGGCCCTCTAGGCGTAACGTTCATGACGGCGCCTCCACACCCTTGCCCTACCATCAGCAAATCGAAGATTAAATCGGGATTCATCACTGAAGACGACTTGATTCAAATTCCTCTGAGTCCATCGTAAGTTTCGCTGTGCCCACAATTGACGTTGACGTCTGTGTAATTGAGTCAGAATCGGCCCGAAGCATGGCCGTCGTGCTTGAAGGTGAGCAGTTCTCAGACGGTTTCGAACAGTTTGCACACTCAGTCTACCCCTAACCAGTTCATTTCTGGTTCATGTAGCCGTCAAAGATCGGTTACGGAGGTGACGTAAGACAATCTGACGATCCTCTGCATTTGACGTCACACGTCCACCTGGCCGAGGGCGATCAGCGGTGGTATCCGTTTGCTGTAGACGCGTCTGTAAATCATAAACAGTCCGTCGACTACAACCCATCGTCCTTGCGACTTCAGCTACGGATGTTCCCGTCTGCAACATGCCGATGGTACGTTCACGTTGCACATTTGAAAGGCGTGGCATGACAAATGGCCATAAAGACTTTTGTTTTCTTGTGATGTGTTTTGTTGTTGTTAATGACTGCTAACAAGTATGGCTGAAAACACGTGCGGTATTATGGCCACGTGACCAGTTGCACGTGAAAAAAACAATTATGCTGTGCACATGATTTTGATCGATTCACCTGCACAAAACGGGTGTTATCTGAAGACAATACATGGCCATTACTGTTTAAATACACAATAAGGGCCCACAATGATAACTGGTCAAAATGTTAAAATTTTATGATTGTGAAGTTTTTAATTTGGTTCAGTATATATTATACTTCAACAGTTTAGAAAGTTGTATAAATAAAAGCGACAAAACCCTTTCCTTATTCGTAAGACATCGTTATTAAAAGCAGGGTCGATTGTTCAGTTCCGACCTTATCAAGAGCAGGTGTTTATGACTCGCTATCAATAGTGATGATACCAGGTGTTCGCGATAACCACCGGGACAAGTTGTTATGTTATCATTCGGAATCATGTCCAGCACCGCGGCTTTATTTCGCTTAATTTCGTAATGACCGAGCTGTAAAGGTAGCGTATGTTCGCTGGGAAACTCTGAGACCAATACTTCATACCTCAGAGGGCCGTGCATTTCTTGTGTCCGAAGTCTCATAAAGTAACCATGGTTACTGTTAGGAATTCCCTCTTTAGTGATTATAGAATACTTCAATTGTTTTAAGACAAAAAATCAATCATACAAATGTTTTCTGAAACCAAAGAACGGATAGAGACAGGGTAAGTTGTGTCTTGTGATGTCTAAGCAATGAGTGAGTGAGTGAGTGAGTGAGTTTTGAAAGAAATCGTTGCAAATGTATGATGACTCACTTTTGTAGCGCCACAGTCAAACTATGACGTCATGATGCACTATGATGTCACAGTTGAACATATTCACAAACATGCACACAATGAGGCTCACAATGACAAAGTTCATAGCGGAAGTAGTTGCTTTGTCTCAATGATGGCCAGGGATTGGCCGCTGTGTGATTTTGTTCCTGTCTGTGTGGAACACACATCCTGTTATTGCTGCCTCGACAACGAACTATCCGAACTGGTTGACCAAGTATCAGGATCCCGGCTCAATGCCCAGTGACGTGTCATCATGTCATTTAAACCTTGACACCAATAACATTGTCAGATAAATGATTGTAGCAATATAAAGTGTATTTTGTTCCGTTTATAGTATATATTCTGCTTACAGCATGATAATTTAAACACATTTATTACACACACGTGAGGGTGACCGCATTATCAGGTCAACATATTTCAGATATTCAGGTCAAGAATCAGGTCCAGGGTCCCACTATGGTCACGATTCAGTTGGCCCTAAAACGTATCTCCGACGGTTCTGTTGTTATGCAAGTACCTATAAATTGACCCTATAAGGGATTCCGGGTGATAGCGGTTCCCAGAACTGCATGCTTGTCGTAAGAGCCGACTAACTGGGGATCGAGTGGACAGGATTTGTGTCCGGGCTGACCAAGTAACTGACTTTGATTGATGTTCATTCTTGCAGTAACTCGGCTACCCTGGTTACCTGTATTTGGTGGTCAAATATTAAAGTCACGGTTTGGAAGGTTGTCATATGTAGAGAAGAACCAAGGCTTATATCATAGGCTATACAAACCACCGAACATGAGTAATGTCTCATATAGTCAGTTCACATAAACATACGGTTCATGAATAAGTTATTTGATGCATGGTAAAACATCAGCCCCCGAATATTTAAAGACGAGAGCACATGTAATAGAGAGCGGTGGAGTGACACTACTTTACGGTTGTAAACTGGTTCAGTTGAACAAACAGATAGCAAAGTGTAGTCGAGACATAATGTTCTCGCATCAATTCCTTCATGTCCTGGTTCTGTCACGAGTCCTCTGACTGTCCTTGAGCAGAGTCAAATACTTGAGTGAATAACACGATCGTGTGTTAGTGAATCGCTCGCGAAACGCCATTTCGATATTACACTAAAACACCAGTCATTGCAGACACGGCTCGAGAGACAGTGTTTCATGTACTTACATGGATATACTAATATACTTTTTTACGCAAATTGTGTGAGTGGCGGGAACTACCGGTAAGTTAGAACATGTTTCCCTTTTCACGAACACCTGGTGTCATCACTGATTTTCAGTTATTTCAGCTGTTTACGCCAACTGGAATCTGTTTCGACTTATTCTTTTGCATTGACAATTTATATTATAAATGTCTTTGAGCACGGTACAATGTTCGAGTGAGAAACACGTACGTGAAGTAGTGTTATTCCACTAAAACCCACGTCCTTGCAGATACAGCTGGAGTGGCACACTGTATAAAGTGCATTTGTACATTATCCAGTTGTACGCACATGGTCGGAGCTACTCAATTGCCATAGGTATTGCCTCTTAAATAATCCTTCAAATAAAGCGAGAAGGCCCTTTCTATATCCAATAGAAATCTCTGCATAAAGCAGAGTTGATTGGATGATTCAGACTATATCATGAGCATGTTAAGCGTGAGGTTCCTTGAATCTGAACGAGGTCAGTTGTTGAATTACTGTTGACACTGACACCGTGTTCTTTGTATACCGTGAACCATGCATGGCAATGCGTGTCACAATTCTATGAAAGCATTTGTTGAATAGATTTTCATCGCACAATTTACCTTTCTTTCTGACTGTTGACGCTAATATTTAGTTTATATTTTTGAATGTATTGATAAATCCTGTATTGCGAAGACACACGTATATCCGCCCACTCCCATCTACGCAAACTCCATATGGATCCTCAGCCCCACCTTGTAATGTTAAAATGTCCCTAACAAACTGACCCGTTTCAGTCAGACGTAGAACTCTGCGCTGCATGTTGTCTGTAACCAGGATGTCGCCTGTGTTGGTGCTCGTTATACCGCACTGCCACCCCATGGCCGCGTCTCCTGTAGGTCTGTAGTTGAACACGACATCTCCCCTGGGGGTCAGACACATCACCGAGTTGGATTCACCGTCAGACACCAGGATGTTCCCTGTCCTGGTGGTACATAGGAAAGTGGGATACTTTAAAATGTCCCGACCATTGTGCAGTGGACGTCAGCACGTTAGTCTGTGACAACAACTGTTCACACCAGCACTGCCACGTCATAGGTCCCGCTTCCCTATCTCTGTGTGACAATCTGGCGTCCATGGAGTCGTGTAATTCGTGAGTGGTATTCAGGCCCAACACATCCTCATACATGACATCTAGGACGCCCAGGAGGTTGTTGTGTTGTGATCTGTCTTGTCTTGAAAATGACCTTGAGTATTCTTCCTCTCGCACCTTCACCGACCACATCCCTGATACATCTCATACACATCCATGTCACACTCAGATTGTAGAGCCTGGTCTATCAGCTCCGCCTGTTGTTGGTACATCTGTACTGATATACTCGTATACTGATTTGCTCTTTTTTTGAATTTCAGAAAAGAACCATGCTCAATTGTGTCAAAACATTTTATTTTTCAACTTTGTATATACTTCACCACACAATAGTAGGACATTTGTCACTTGGTGTGGGTAAATATCTATTTGAAAATGTTTATGAGAATTTGTGAAAAACTAAAAGTCATCAAAAGTTTGCTTAGAAAACAATTTGTGAACTTTGGGTTTGGGCATTAAGATAGGACGTAGGCACCAATTGTATTGCATTGTGCTTCCCTATTTGTTGATCTATTTTGTCATGCATATTAATCGGAATTCCTGTCCGGATTTTTGTCCAAGAAATTAAACTTGTGGTATATCGATGAAATGAGATCATTCAATATCCACCAAATGGCGAATTCCCTTCCAGTTGTTTACCCACCTGAACAAGACATAAAAGAGAACAGTGAAACCGCCTCATCTGTTTCATATCAATGCATAAAGATTCAGAGTGACTTCAGTTTTCCCCTTGAGGAATTCCTCTAGCTCCAGCCTTGATTTCTACATTTCTACACCTTTGAGGTACAATCGAGCATGCTGTTTTTTCCTAAATAATGATTTGATCAAGGTTACAGAATTCAAGGCCTCGGTAAAGCTTCCAAAAAGTTATGATAGACATGTGGAAAACACTCAGATGTACCAAATGTTGCCGTTTTTTTTCATGTGAACATTGGACTTGTCTTTATACGTGTTTGTATTGGGTTCCACTGGTGAGGCAGGATACGCACATGTTTTCGCTAACACCTGGTATCACCACTATTTGATAATGATTCATAAACACATGCTTATGATACAGTCGGATATTTTGTCAGGGTATACAATCTCAATTGACACCGTCCTGCTCGAGGAGATCGCTCAGGTGTGTCATTGTGTCCACGTTAAACACGAGATATTAAGACAGTTCTCGGACTTCATTTCTAAGAATCTCGCCACCCACAAGGTAATGTTGTGTGCAGGTGTATTTGTCTCGTGTTTTACTAACTGGTGCCGGGTATTCAGTGTGTCAGATCTGTCTGTAATGTTCATTCTCATGTAAATGCGATCAAACTAAAGTGACGCCGATATGTGCTATACACATTACACACTGAGTTGACTTCACATTGGGTAAACACGTTTCTTGATATATGCCTGCAGTTTAGTACTTGTCATCTACACCAGGCCATGCCATCTTGATAGCAGTGACAGGACTGTAGTGTTATATGTAATGTGGCGATGTGTCTGTGTACACGTCTGTGGGGTACATGGCAAACCCGGAAGTTAAACCTAGCCTACTTCAGTTATGGGTATAGAATAACTGGGTCATGATAGCGCGTTAATCATTGTTCTGGTTCAAACACGACGTCTGAGTGGTAATAGAAATATCATCGGAACGTATATACTACCATGAAATGTTTGTTTGTGCATGTAATGTAGTGAAACTATTTGATGGGCCAAGCGAAGAGTTCAAACCGAAACCTGCTGTATTTAAAGCTGAACAATTTGAATTGACAGGAATCAAATCTTCGTGCAAAACCTCTTAATTGATAACTCTCCTTGTATAGTTCCATTCAGATTCACCACGAGGGAACACAAAATCACTGCACACGTAATAACAAGTGACATGGCTAATATTATCAGAAGTTTGGATGGGATCGGATGGTCAGGCTCGCTGACTTGGTTGAGGTATGTCAGCGTATCCCACTTGCGTGGATCGATGCTCATGATATCAATCACTGGATTGTCCGCTCCAGACTCGATTTGGGTAATTTTGACAGCTTATTATGATTGTTTAGCTATCGGGTGGTCATAAAAACACATTGTTCAACCGTAAATAACACTTACGCAATGCCACGCCTTGCTGAAAATTACCGTCTGCACGCCGTGTGTGTGCTGCAAACAGTAATGAAGCATAACGAAGTTGTCAGACACTTTAGTGTCAATCGAAACACAATATAACCTCTTTGGAGGGCAACACTCATGACTTGCCACGGGCCGGTTGTCATCGTGTGACGCCACCTCAACAAGACACCATATTCGGTTGGTGCATCTAAGGAATCGACACCAAACTGCCCCATTAAGAACACGGACAATTCCTGGTTTGAGATCAAGTAGTGGCAGATCCATAAGCAATAGGTTAAGGGAGCATAACGTCCAGCGACACGCTTGATTTTGCCTCCACATCACCGTCAGGCACGCCTTGGTGTAGATGGCATCTGAGGTTCAGACTGAAAGACTGGGACAGTATACACTATTATCACAGTTATATCACCAAATGGCAGCTTTTGTGGGAGAAAATCCTGAAGTTACACATGTTTTAGACGTTTACTAAACCCACGATCACGGGTATGTTGTTGACAAACCCAGAAACACACTCAGGACCAAACTGGGATTCCTACGATCATACGTCATAAGGGACGCAACTCCCGGACGGCGAATAGCGGCACCTAACACGACTGGGCCACCCATGTTCCACTAAACAATCAAGTTTAAATTCTCGATATTATCATAACTAGACGACTTCATATGAATAAACATGCATATCATTTTCATCACAGGAATCCTATTTTGTGAATTATACATCAACTTTCCTTTTAACTGAGTGCTGCTGTATTAGCCGAATGTCTTCGTGTCCATGGTATATTGCCCAAAAATATACAAAAGAAATTCTCATCATCGTCTCTATATATTTTGTGTACATTATTGTAAAATGAATCAGAGTGTGTCAAATGGGGTACATTCCCGGAAATGTTCTGGAGTGTTCACTGCGTATGAATGTTTTTATTATTTATTGTTTTCTCAATCCCAGTTTGTTAACTACAAGTATATTGTTTTCTCAAGCCAATTTTTTAACAACCAGTATATTTTTTCCTCAATCCCAGCGAAATGAGAACAACATCTGTCTAGGTTTTTCTCTACATTTATTCTTTTGAGTTGGTGGTTCACGATCATGATCGATCAAGTGTCACAGTAGAACGTGCCTCATTTATTGTATCTATTTTGAGAGACGCAAAGTAGTCGCAGTAGTAGTAGTAGTAGCAGTACTAGGGGTAGCAGCAGTAGCAGCAGTCGTAGTAGTAGCAGTAGCAGCAACAACATCAGTAGTAGTAGTAGCAGCTGCAATAGTAGTAGCAGCAGCAGCAGCAGCAGTAGTAGTAGTGAGTTGGGTTTTAACGCCGCTTTGAACCGTAGGATTCTGAACAATAGATTCGATGTTAAAGTACAACTTGAGCTGTTGAAGTATTGCTCGACATAAAAGGTAAAGCTGGCCATTGGAAAGTTGAAGTCATCCCTCTTGTCATGCATTACATACTACATATCATGTTATATTTGTTCAAGGAAGGACTATCATAAGATTTGAGGCTAGACCTACATGCTGCTGTAAAAGTTGGGACATAGTGCAGCGAGAGTCTACGTTATTTCGCGAGTTCAATCAGCGAAATTTGTACGTCATATGTTGTGAAATGTAGTAGGCTGGTGGTTCTGGAATATTGCTAGACATAAAGGAGAGTTAACTACTGGACAGTTGAAGCCATCCATTTAGACTTTGTGGAAAATGTTTACCACTTTGTCCGGATTAATGAGGTTTCACGGCATACAGTAACGTCAAACGTTTGTGAATGTTGTTTTGCGTCTCACCAATATTGAAACTATATCCTGGCAGCCAGGAAACGCTCTCTCTACTAGATCATGAAGGCGGTAAAATTTTTAAGTGTAGATATTGCACAGAAGTAAACTTTACCTGTCCGGATGGGGGATATTCTGTCACGGGTATGCACTTTCCCTCTACACCGCCAGTGAGTGACACCCACACGGTGAGAGAAGGCTGTGCAGTGACGCTGTCGTAAGACAGTATATATCATTATACACTGAATGCTGAATGGTTTATCTGAGTATTGATGTGTATAGAAACACGAAGATAGTGTAACTGGTCATCTTATTTATCAAGTATTCCCTGTTGAGGTTATTTATAACTCTTTATCCAAGATCACAACCGTAGGTTGTGTGTGGTTTGTTGTATTCATTCATATACAGATCATGACGAGTCAACGTTAATCGATAATTAAGTGTATGTGTTGTCAACAATGTGTGTGTATTAATATCCTGTACTTGTTTATACCATAGTCACCATAATCTCCAGTGTGTTATCTGTATACCTACATACTGTGTTCAACACGGAAGTCAGTCGTCTACTTTCGTTATGGTAATGAGGACCAGTGACCCACTAGAAATATGGCGGGAGATATTCAAACGTGTTTCAGGGCCTAAACGAGTCAAGAGAATGTCTCATAGTTGAAACCTTTACGATTTTTTCACTTATATCACAGAAGCGAAGATTAATTAAGTTGTGGTAGTTTTTATTTTCCTATTTCTTGAAAGAGTAGCTTGGTGCATTTGGCTTAACAGACTTAGCATGTGGAGTATTAAGCAGCCCCATCTCAGGTTTTGGAGTTTTACCACCGCTTGCCGGAACATCTCAAGGATATCCGATCTTCATTATAGTCCTGGGAATATGTTTATTAACACACTGCCTACCCCGAGAACGAAATACTTGAGAGTGACCCTCGTATATAAAGTCAAGTTATATAAGGTCATTCGTAAGGTTTCTTTGTCATTTTAACTTATTCCGATATGTATTTAACTAAAAGCAACAAAACACTTTCCCAAGTCACAATACATTTCTGACAAAAGCAGCGTCCACTGTACGACTTCGACTGTATTATGAGGAGTTGTTTATGAATCACTATCAGATAGGGAGGATTCCAGATGTGCGTGGAAAGGTGATAATGTCCTACACATCACAAACAAATGTCATCCAAATGTGTACTGTAAAACGTTCTGAAAGCTGTACTGAGGCCTAGAAGGTTGGAACCTTGATCAAACCACTTTTGAACAAGAATCGTATCACGTGAACATACTTGGATATATATTCATGTCATGAAGGCTCATTTATAAGGGTGCGGTCAGGTAGCCTGGTGGTCAAAGCGTTCGCTCGTCACGCCGAATTTGATTCCCGACATGGGTACAATGTGTGAACCCCATTTCTGGTGTCCCCCGCTGTGATATTGCTTCAATATTGCTTAAAGCGGCGTAAAACCATATATGAAGGCTAATTTATAAGGTATATGTATTGTGTAAAATGTTCTTCAAATGTTTCAGATGGCGACCTCTCAGAAGCTAATGGAACATTTCCTGACTTGTACAATATGCACAGAGGTGTTTGATAATCCCTGTACTCTTGTGTGCAATCACACCTTTTGTCGGAAATGTGTCGTCAACTACACCAAAACCAGACCAGAAGCCATCAGTGCCAAGTCCCTCCTCTGTCCATTCTGCAACAAGATGACGAAAGTGTCTGCTCCTGAGAGACCAGTGGAGGAGTGGGCGGATGACGTCAAGCCATTTTTTATCATCCAGGGACTCTTGAACTCGTTTGGTCCGGGATCTAAAGGTACAGTAGTGATTGTGTCTCAACAGGCTGCATTCTAATTTACTGAGATTTGATATACAAAAAGTAAATTTAACTGAGAACTGTACCTATATGTATTTCTGCATAGGAAGGTGTATGTTTTAATGTGATACTTGTTATTATTGTTGCTTCACGTTTGTCCATGGTGGTCTTGGTGTATTTGCCGAAATTCTGACAGTATGAATTCATAGTAGATACATCCTCGTCTTACATGGTGGCAATGTCTGCAGTAACAATATCATCTAGTTCATGAGCTGTGTGAATATTAGAGAAGAACTTTGACATATGTAACATAGAAAATACATTGTATTGAAAATAGAATTATGGTTGAAAAACACCACATCTAGATGGCTCATCTTCTCCCCACAATACACACACCACATTGAAGATTAATATACATTTGCAGATACAGCCTCCTGCAGCTACTGTAGAGAGGAAGGGGAGACAACTCCAGCTGTTGTTTGGTGCTCGGTCTGTGATGAGGCACTCTGTAACAAATGTACTGCAGCTCACAACCGCATCCCGTCATTACGGAAACACAAAGTCATTGACCTCTCCGGCGAGGTTAAGGTCAGAAGAAGACACAAGGTGACATGTAAAGAGCACAAGGACGAAACTATCAAATATCTGTGTAAAGATTGTAAGAAAGCTGTTTGTCAGACATGCTGCACTATCTACCACAGGAAATGTGACTCGGTCGTCACACTCGAGTCGGAAATGATGGATGTGAAGACAGAGCTGGTGAAGATGAAAGAGACTTTGTCAAGGAGAAGACACAAACGAAACACAGAGGTGCAGAAAAAGAAATCAGTGATGAAAGAAGAGATATGTCGACATTCACAGACGGAATCCGACATCAAGTCTGCAAGTCTGAAGGCAATACGAAGGATAAAACTCAAGAAACAGAAACTTCTTGATCAACTGAGAGAGATGTCAGAAAAACACATAGGACAACTGAAAGCAGAAATTAAGTCAGGTGAGATGTCAGTACAAATGAACCAACAACAGGCTGAGCTGATAGACCAGGCTCTACAATCTGAGTGTGATATGGATGTGTATGAGATGTATCAGGGGTGTGAGGCGGGTGATGTGGAGGCTGTCGGAGACGCAGATGTGAAGGAGAGAGGAAGAATAACCAAGGTCACATTCAGACAGGAGACGGACAAGCTGAGTAAATCTCTGGACGATCTACAGCTGGGAGAGATAGATGTCCTGTATGAGGATGTGCTGAACCTGAAGGCTTCTCCTGTGTTACAGGACACCATTGACGTCAGAGTAACAGGCGACAGTAACACACCAGACCCGACTGACGTGACAGTGATGGTGGTGAATGACGTTGTAGTTGTAGATGCAGTTGTAGTCACAGACTGGAACACCAACACTGTGAAGTCCTTCTACACCAGGAATAACCGGACACGTCACAGTGAATTCTGTCTGGTTGGTAAACCATTGGGTCTGACAAAGTTGACACACAACCAGGTGGCCGTCACTGTCCTGGACATCAAACAGATTGTAACAGTAGAAGTCAACCCTGACCTGGTGCTGCTGTCAACTATCAGAACCAGCAAACAGTACTTGGGCATAACGTCCCTGACCCCATCAACACTAGCAGCTAGTTCCCGGTCTCCCCCCTGTGTTGATATCCTGGATATGACAGGAAACGTGCTGAGGTCAATCAGTCCATACCACAATGGTATCAACATCTTAGAAAGACCAAACTATCTCTGTACCACGAGGACAGGAAACATCCTGGTGTCTGACTGTGGAACCAAGTGTGTCTTGTGTCTGACCCCCGCGGGAGATGTGGTGTTCACCTATAGCCCTGCAGGAGACACAGCGCTGGAGTTTCCCCGGGGTATCACAAGTACCAGTACAGGTGACATCCTGGTGACAGACAACCGTCTACACAGAGTCATCCATCTGACGGAGTCAGGACAGTTTGTCAGAAACATACTGACACAACAGGACGGTATCATCAAACCCCGCGGTGTGTGTGTAGACGGACATGGCCACATGTATGTTTGTCTCAGTTGGGAAGCAGTTATTAAGGTGTTCACATGTAAACACTGACAACGTGTGTTTGTGACATATATATGTGTATAGAACTCTCTCAGGTTGCTGTCGTCTTTAGGAAGGAATTCATAAAAGCCCAAACTGTAGGATACTGATTATCCGCAAGTTGCCTTATGAATGACGAGATGTAATTTAGGCTATCTCAGAGCTGTTTTTTGTGTCAACCTGTGTGGGGTGTGTCAGAACCTAGAAAATTTGAAACATTGCAAACCCAAAGTCACTGCATAATGAAACGATGTATGACTGACACCCCTGTCTTCCTCTCGCATCACCTTCTCCTCCTCACTGACAGACACCCCTGTCTATCACACGCATCACCTTCTCCTCCTCACTGACAGACACCCCTGTCTTCCCCTCGCATCACCTTCTCCTCCTCACTGACAGACATCCCTGTCTTCCTCTCGCATCACCTTCTCCTCCTCACTGACAGACATCCCTGTCTTCCCCTCGCATCACCATCTCCTCCTCACTGACAGACATCCCTGTCTTCCTCTCGCATCACCATCTCCTCACTGACAGACACCCCTGTCTTCCTCTCGCATCACCTTCTCCTCCTCACTGACAGACATCCCTGTCTTTCCCTCGCATCACCTTCTCCTCCTCACTGACAGACATCCCTGTCTTCCCCTCGCATCACCATCTCCTCCTCACTGACAGACACCACTGTCTTCCCCTCGCATCACCTTCTCCTCATCACTGACAGACACCCCTGTCTTCCCCTCACATCACCATCTCCTCCTCACTGACAGACATCCCTGTCTTCCTCTCGGATCACCTTCTCCTCCTCACTGACAGACACCCCTGTCTTCCCCTCGCAACACCTTCTCCTCCTCACTGACGGACACCCCTGTCTTCCCCTCGCATCACCTTCTCCTCCTCCATGACTGACACCCCTGTCTTCCTCTCGCATCACCTTCTCCTCCTCACAGACAGACATCCCTGTCTTCGCCTCGCATCACCTTCTCCTCACTGACTGACACCCCTGTCTTCCCCTCGCATCACCATCTCCTCCTCACTGACAGACACCACTGTCTTCCCCTCACATCACCTTCTCCTATCACTGAAGCGACACCCCTGTCTTCCCCTCGCATCACCTTCTCCTATCACCATCTCCTCACCACTGTCAGACATATCTCTCCTCTATGCCTCCATCTCCCATCTGGGATTTGAACCCACGATAATAGGATCCAGGCACTCCTGACTTACGCAGCTCTGCACATGGTGTTTAGTAACTCTTCAATCCTTGAAAATATTGGACCTTTGACTACATAGGCTATTCTTCTCCTTAAAACACACCGTTACCGGAAATACTTTGACAAAACATAACAAACAAATTATTTGAAAAATTAACCAGAAATGTTTGTCGCCTGTATTTACAGTGTTTGAGTCGTGATGTGATGTACGTGGATTATGATTTCTGCTGCTGTTGAACGTGCGCCAAGCTTCGTCGAGAGCTGATCGTAACGATACGAGGTTCACGACTCTATCTAATTACGTGGGGACCTAAGCGTGAACTTTTGAAATCGCTTGCACGTTTTAAATACACGATAACTTGAATTTATGTGCCCTGACAAGGATCTTTATTGAACACATGATGCCATTTAGAAAGTGTAACAAATGTAACATATTTGGGATAACACTTTCTTTATTAAAGTTTAGATTCTCATACTTTTTTTAGTTGAGTCCCGTCCGGGATTCCAACCCACACTGCCAGTGTTATCCCAAATATATTTGGTACAAGGATTTATATGTTTATCTGATCCTTAGTTTCTTCTCGTCAAAGGTTTATCTAGCTTTTTTTAACGCGAACATTGTTACAGGTAACAGGATGTAACACGACATTATGCATATCACGTTCTGAGCTTTTAAGGATTTTGGATATTGGAAATTATAAAATAGCTAATTTCACTGTAACGTGTCGCCGTATCCGAGGTCAACTATCACACGTCATCAAATCATACTAATCGGATTCTAGCCACGCTGGAGACACATGCTCCGATAACATTAGTAATCATTCACTTGATGGTCAAATAAGAACTATAGATCAGTTTGTTCCGAGTGACAATCAACCGAAATGTTGGTTCAATATAAAGTGCAATTGATAGCCAACTACATTCTTAAAAAATAATGGAGCTCTTAAGCAATGGAGGACGTCACAGATATCTTTGAATACGAACCCGTGGATCGATTACACTAAACCAGGTTCTATCTGGATTAACTGGGTTTTACGGTTTACAATTACTGCGTGCATGTTGTTTTACGGCTCAGTCCGCAATATTTCAACTACATCTTATCAGCCTGGGCCAGAAAAATCAGTGATTGACAGCATGAGCAACGATGCATGCTGTGGGGACACGGTGCCGCACGATTGGCAATGTCACACGTCATACCACCCCAACCCCCCATCCCCCCACCCCACCCCACCCCCACCCCCCATCTTCAGTAGTCGGCTAGTACAAGAATGGTTCACTAGAGATCTACCCAAACTGTTGAAGATCAAATTTACTCTCATGATCGCACAAAATGTACTTCGTTATAATAACCGAAGAAGTATTTATTGTAGTAGGACGACAGTACATATCAACCTGGTAAGGCAAGGTTGTGCAAAAAAAAATCCTTTCCACTTCTCTCCAAAGAGTCCCACAAATGTTCGATTGGCTTCATGTCAGGACTTTTGGTTGGTTGGTTTGTTGTTTAACGCCGCACTCAGCAATATTCCAGCTATATGACGGCGGTCTGTAAATAATCGAGTCGACCAGAAAAATCCAGTGATTGATATCATGAGCATCGATCCACGCAATTAGGATCGATGAAATTCATCAACCAAGTCAGCGAGCCTGACCACCCGGTCGCCTCTTATGACAAGCAAAGTCGCCTTTTACGGCAAGCATAGGTTGCTGAAGCCCTATTCTACCCTGGATATTCACGGTCCGGACGTTTGGCCGGCCAAGGCATATCATCCATGTGGTTAGCCTGCGGGAAGTCCCGTGTGATGCGCGCGATGTGACTTGTGGCATTGCCATGCTGAAACGGCGTTGAGGTAAGGGACACCTTGCTGAGCAGGAATCTCGCCCCTGTAGCGCATCGCATTCATATTGTTACTAATAGGAACAAGAGCTGTGCTATGACCGTGTGCAGTTCCAGCCAAAACCATTCCGATCCAGCTCCTTAAAAACGATCTCTGTCAGAAGCACAAGCGTCAGCATAACGTTCCCTTCATCCGTCTATACACCCAACGACGACCGTCACCTCTAGAAAGTGTAAAACAGAATTCGTCACTACAGAGAACGCATTGCCATTAACGTCGAGTCTAACGCAGACGTGCACGAGCCCAATCTCGACGTTGGCTAGAAACTGGCCCAACGTATGGCCCCTGGATCTGAGACCATATTGTCACAGACGATTGCGAACAGTTTGTTATGTGCAGTCACAGTTGCAAACAAACTTTTGACCCAAGATAACAAATGACTGCCGACGCACATAGACATGTCATGGACTTTGTACTTTGTGTCCCACCCACCCAACTAGCAGGGATCACACAGGTTGTCATTGTGTCCAGGTGAAACACGGGATATTCAGACAGTTCACAGACTACGTTCACCAGAATCTCATCACCAGGTAGGTAATGTTGTATGCATGTGTTTTTGTCTCGTGTTTTCCTGGCTGGGGCTGGGTATCCAGTGTGTCAGATCTGTCTGTAATGTGCTTTGTTAGGTAAATGCGATCTAACTTTCATATTACACCCTGAGTTGACTTCATACTGGTAACATGTTTCTTGATATATGCCTGCAGTATTAGCACATGTGTATCTTGTCAACTACATCAGGCCATGCCCTCTTGATAGCAGTGACAGTATTGTTGTGTTATATGTCATGTAGAGATGTGTCTGTGTACACGTCTGTGGGGTACATGGCACACCCGGAAGTTATGGGTATGGGTATAGAATAACTGGGTCATGATAGTGTGTAATCATTGTTCTGGTTCAAACACGACGTTTGAGTGGTAATACAAATATCATGGGAACGTATTTACTGCCATGAAATGTTTGTTTGTGTATGTAATGTTGTGAAACTATATGTTTGGCCAAGTGAAGAGTTCAAACCGAAACCTGCTGTGTTTAAAACTGAACAATTACGGCATTATCTGTGAATACACATCGTCACAGCGGTTCTGGGTACAACTGTTCCCCAACAACCCATGTTTCTTCTAACATGCGATTGAATGGATTGGTTGGTCAGGCTCAGTGTCTGCGTCACCGTACCCCGACGTCGTTGCTCATGATATCAACCACTGTCTGATCCAGAATCAATAGATATCCAGGATAGAACTCGGACATTTTACTGACTGGCGTTAAGAAAACAACAACAAAGAAACAATGTTTGAAATTTACCTGGCAGTCGGGTTTGAGAAAGTTGTGCTTTCAAATAAATATTTTTTACTTATTATCGATATGGCTGAAGAAGTCAGCAGAATGCAAGATTTTTACAATGTAGTGGTTGAATGTATACTAACGGAAAAAGGGAACTGTGCTCCATAAAGTTCCGTAGAAGTAGTTTTATTCTGGAATTGAATATCGCATCTTTCAACACATACTCATGAAAGTCGTGTTTCACAATTTGCACGTGCATTCTAATACACAGCACACAATTCAGGATGTTTCTGTGTTTGTTAGTAGTATGATACTAAAACAAGTGATTTTTTGGTAATTTTGACAGCTTATTATGATTGTTTAGCTATCGGGTGGTCATAAAAACACTTTTGTTCAACCTAAACAACACTTACGCAATGCCACGGCTTGCTGACGATCACCGTCTAACTGCTCCGTGTGTATGCTGCAAACAGGAATAAAGCAAAACAAAGTTGTCAGAAAATTTAGTGTCAATCGAAACACAATATCACCTCTTTTGAAACGTTATCTACAGCAGGGCAACACTCATGACTTGCCACGTGCCGGTTGTCCACGTGTGACGCCTCAACAAGACACCATATTCGGTTTGGTGCATGTAAGGAATCGAACACGGACAATTTGAGCCAGTATACAATATTATCACAGTTATATCACCAAATGGCAGCTTTTGTGGGAGAAAATCCTGAAGTTACACATGTTTTAGACGTTTGCCAAACCAACGATCCCGGGTATGTTGTTGACAAACCTAGAAACACACTCAGGACCAAACTGGGATTCCTACGATCATACGACATAAGGGACACAGTTCAGTGCACGGCGAATTGCGGCACCTAAAACGACTGGGCCACCCATGTTACACCAAACAATCAAGTTTCAAGTTCAGATATTATCATACCTAGACGACTTCATATGTATAAACATGGATAACATTTTCACCACAGGAATCCTATTTTGTGAATTATACATCAACTGTCCTTTTAACAGAGTGCTGTTGTATTTGCCGAATGTCTTCGTGTCCATGGTATATTGCCCCAAAATAAACCAAAGAAATTCTCATCATCGTCTCTATATATTTTGTGTACATTATTGTAAAATAAATCAGAGTGTGTCAAATGGGGTTTAATCCCGGACATGTTCTGTAATGTTCACTGCGTATGCATGATTTAAACTATTTTTTGTTTTCTCAATCCCAGTTGTTAACTACAAGTATATTGTTTTTTCAAGCCCAGTTGTTTAACTACAAGTATATTATTTTCTCAATCCCATGTGTCACGGAGCTCAGCAAAATGAGAACAACATCTGTCTAGGTTTTTCTCTACATTGATTCTTTTGAGTTGGTGGTTCACGAACATGATCGATCAAGTGTCACAGTAGAACATGCGTCATTTATTGTATCTATTCTGAGAGAGGCAAAGTAGTCGCACTAGTAGTAGTAGTAGTAGCAGTAGTAGGGGTAGCAGCTGTAGCAGCAGTCGTAGAAGTAGCAGTAGCAGCAACAACATCATTAGTAGTAGCAGCAGCAGTAGTGGTAGCAGTTGTCGCTGTTGTAGTTGTAGTAGCAGCAGCAGTAGTAGCAGCAGCAGTAGTAGCAGCAATAGTAGTAGCAGCAGCTGTAATAGTAACAGTCGTCGTCGTCGTAGTAGTAGTAGTAGTAGCAGCAGCAGCAGTAGAAGTAGTAGTAGTGAGTTGGGTTTTAACGCCGCTTTGACCCGTAGGTTTCTGAACAGTAGATTCAATGTTAAAGTATAACTTGAGCTGCTGAAGAATTGCTTGACATCAAACGGAAAGTTGGCCATTGGAAAGTTGAAGTCATCCCTCTTGTCATACATTACATACTACATATCATGTAATATTTGTTCAAGGAAGGACTATCATAAGATTTAAGGCTAGACCTACATGCTGCGGTATCAGTTGGGACGTACTGTAGCGAGAGTCTACGTTATTTCGCGAGTTCAGTCAGCGAAATTTGTACGTCATATGTTGTGAAATGTAGTAGGCTGGTGGTTCTGGAATATTGCTAGACATAAAGAAGAGTTAACTACTGGACAGTTGAAGCCATCCATTTAGTCTTTGTGGAAAATGTTTGCCACTTTGTCCGGATTAACGAGGTTTCACGGCATACAGTAACGTCAAACGTGTGTGAATGTTGTTTTGCGTCTCACCAATATTGAAACTATATCCTGGCAGCCTGGAAACGCTCTCTCTAATTGACCATGGAGGCGGTATAATTCTTAAGTGTAGATATTGCACAGAAGCAGACTTTACCTGTCCGGATGGGGGATATTCTGTCACAGGTATGCACTTTCCCTCTACACCGCCAGTGAGTGACACTCACACGGTGAGAGAAGGCTGTGCAGTGACGCTGTGGTAAGACAGTATATATCATTATACACTGAAAGGTGAATGGTTTATTTGGGTATTGATGTGTATAGAAACACTTAGATAGTGTAACTGGTCATCTTATTTATCAAGTATTCCCTGTTGAGGATATTTATAACTCTCTATCCAAGATCACAAACGTAGGTTGTGTGTGGTTTGTTGGATTCATTCATATACAGATCATGACGAGTCAACGTTAATCGATAATTATATGTATTTGTTGTCAACAATGTGTGTGTATTAATATCATGTACTTGTTTATACCATAGTCACCACAATCTCCAGTGTGTTATCTGTGTACCTACATACTGTTAACAACACGGAAGTCAGTCGTCTACTTTCGTTATGGTAATGAGGACCAGTGATCCACTAGGAATATGGCGGGAGATATTCAAACGTGTTTCAGGGTCTAGTCGAGTCAAGAGAATGTCTAAAAAACCGGTTATGATATCGACCGTTACTCACTTAACAATAATTAGGACTTTGCAGTTGAAACGATTTTTTCACTTATATCACAGAAGCGAAGATTAATTAAGTTGTGGTAGTTTTAATTTTCCTATTTTTTGAAAGAGTAGCTTGATGCTTTTTGCATAACAGACTTAGCATGTGGAGTATTAAGCAGCCCCATCTCAGGTTTTGGAGTTTTACCACCGCTTGCTGGAACATCTCAAGGATATCCGATCTTCATTATAGTCCTTGGAATATGTTTATTAACACACCGCCTAACTCGAGAACGAAATACTTGAGAGTGACCCTCGTATATAAAGTCAAGTTATATAAGGTCATTCGTAAGGTTTCTTTGTCATTTTAACTAATTCCGATATGTATTTAACTAAAAGCAACAAAACACTTTCCAAAGCCACAATACATTTCTGACAAAAGCAGCGTCCACTGTACGACTTCGACTGTATTATGAGGTGTTGTTTATGAATCACTATCAGATAGGGAGGATTCCAGATGTGCGTGGAAAGGTGATAATGTCCTACACATCACAAACAAATGTCATCCAAATGTGTACTGTAAAACGTTCTGAAAGCTGTACTGAGGCCTAGAAGGTTGTAACCTTGATCAAACCACTTTTGAACAAGAATCGTAAGACGTGACTATACTTGGATATATATTCATGTCATGAAGGCTCATTTATAAGGGGGCGGTCAGGTAGCCTAGTGGTTAAAGCGTTCGCTCGTCACGCCGAATTCGATTCCCGACATGGGTACAATGTGTGAACCCCATTTCTGGTGTCCCCCGCAGTGATATTGCTGGAATATTGCTAAAAGCGGCGTAAAACCATACTCACTCATTTATAAGGCATATGTATTGTGTAAAATGTTCTTCAAATGTTTAAGATGGCGACTTCTCAGAAGCTAACGGAACATTTCCTGACCTGTACAATATGCACAGAGGTGTTTGATAATCCCTGTACACTTGTGTGCAATCACACCTTTTGTCGAAAATGTGTCGTCAACAACACGAAAACCAGACCAGAGGCCATCAGTGTAAAGTCCCTCCTCTGTCCATTCTGCAACAAGATGACGAAAGTGTCTGCTCCTGAGAGGCCAGTGGAGGAGTGGGCGGATGACGTCAAGCCAATCTTTATCATCCAGGGACTCTTGGACTTGTTTGGTCCGGGATCTAAAGGTACAATAGTAGTTGTGTCTCAAGATGCTGCAATCTAATTTACTGAGATTATTTACTGAGATTTGATTTACAAAAAGTAAATTTAACTGAGAACTGTACCTATATGTATTTCTGCACAGGAAGAACAGTATGTTTTAATGTGATACTTGTTATTATTGTTGCTTCACGTCTGTCCATGGTGTTTTTGGTGTATTTGCCGAAATACATCCTCATCTTACATGTTGGCAATGTCTGCAGTAACAATAACATCTAGTTCACATGAGCTGTGTGAATATTGGGGAAGAACTTGCACAGATGTAGATTCAACAAATAACATAGAAAATACATTGTAGTGAAAATAGAATAATGGTTGAAATACACCACATATAGATGGCTCCTCTTCTCCTCTCAATACACACACCACATTGAAGATTAATATACATTTGCAGATACAGCCTCCTGCAGCTACTGTAGAGAGGAAGGGGAGACAACTCCAGCTGTTGTTTAGTGCTCGGTCTGTGATGAGGCTCCCTGTTTCAAATGTACTGGACCTCACAACCGCATCCCGTCATTACGGAAACACAAAGTCATTGACCTCTCCGGCGAGGTCAAGGCCAGAAGAAGACACAAGGTGACATGTAAAGAGCACCAGGACGAAACCATCAAATATTTGTGTAAAGATTGTAAGAAAGCTGTTTGTCAGTCATGCTGCACTATCTACCACAGGAAATGTGACTCGGTCGTCACACTCGAGTCGGAAATGATGGCTGTGAAGACAGAGCTGGTGAAGATCAAAGATACTTTGTCAAGGAGAAGACACAAACGAAACACAGAGGTGCAGAAAAAGAAATCAGTGATGAAAGAAGAGATATGTCGACATTCACAGACGGAATCCGACATCCAGTCTGCAAGTCTGAAGGCAATACAAGGGATAAAACTCAAGGAACAGAAACTTCTGGACGAACTGAAAGAGATGACAGACAAACACATCGGACAACTGAAGGCAGACATTAAGTCAGGTGAGATGTCAGTACAGATGTACCAACAACAGGCGGAGCTGATTGACCAGGCTCTACAATCTGAGTGTGACATGGATGTGTATGAGATTTATCAGGGATGTGCGGCGGATGATGTGGAGGCTGTCGGAGACGCAGATGTGAAGGAGATAGGAAGAATAACCAAGGTCACATTCAGACAGGACACGGACAAGCTGAGTAAATCTCTGGACGATCTACAGCTGGGTGAGATAGACTTCATGTATGAGAGTGTGCTGGACCTGAAGGCTACTCCTGTGTTACAGGACACCATTGATGTCAGAGTAGCAGGCGACAGTAACAGACCAGACCCGAGTGACGTGACAGTGATGGTGGTGAATGACACAGATACAGTTTTAGTCTCCGACTACTACAACCAGAGTGTGAAGTCCTTCTACACCAGGAATAACCAGACACGTCACAGTAAACTCAGTCTGGAGTCTTACAAAGTTGACACACAACCAGGTGGCCGTCACTGTCCTGAACATCAAACAGATTGTAACAGTAGAAGTCAACCCTGACCTGGTGCTGCTGTCAACCATCACAACCAGCAAACAGTACTGTGGTATAACGTCCTTGACACCATCAACACTAGCAGCTAGTTCCCGGTCTCCCCCCTCTGTTGACATCCTGGATATGACAGGAAACGTGCTGAGGTCAGTCAGTCCACGCCACTATGGTAGCAAGATCTTACAAAATCCAAACTTCCTCTGTACTACGAGGACAGGAAACATCCTGGTGTCTGACGGTGGAACCGAGTGTGTCCTGTGTCTGACCCCCGAGGGAGATGTGGTGTTCACCTACTACAGCCCTATAGGAGACACAGCACTGATGTCTCCCCGGGGTATCACAAGTACCAGCACAGGCGACATCCTGGTGACAGACTACTCTCCAAACAGAGTCATCCATCTGACGGAGTCAGGACAGTTAGTCAGAAACATACTGACACAACAGGACGGTATCAACCAGCCCCAGGGTGTGTGTGTAGAGGGACATGGCCACGTGTATGTTTGTCTCATTAGCGGAGTTATTAAGGTGTTCACATGTAAACACTGACAACGTGTGTTTGTGACATATATATGTGTGTAGAACTCTCTCAGGTTCCTGTCGTCTTTAGGAAGGAATTCATAAAAGCCCAAACTGTAGGATACTGATTATCCGCAAGTTGCCTGATGGATAACGAGATGTAATTTAGGCTATCTCAGAGCTGTTTTTGTGTCAACCTGTGTGGGGTGTGTCAGTACCTAGAAAATTTGAAACATTGCAAACCCAAAGTCACGGCATAATGAAACGATGTATTTTTTGTGTGAAAATAACTAAATGCCTGTAGTATTCTTTTCCCCGTTGACGGTCATACATGTGTTGATTTTACTTGTATGTGTTATAAAAAGATATGTTGAGCTAAATCTTTTATATATTTTTGCAGATTCAAAAAAACAAATCTTTGCTTCGCAATATTTCAAAAAGATGTTAGTCTGAGATACAAAATTGAGAAGAATATAGCCTTTACAAATGGTAATGTAGCTACATTTTATAAATCATGGATCTTTTATCACATATTGTTTGAAGAAGCAGAACAGCAATAACATATGTATCTCTTTCTCACATTTGTTTCTTGCCAGGATCAGTGTTTGAATAATATTTTGAATGCTTGACTGTGTGTATGTTTTGTTATATTTTTTAAAAATCACCTTGGCACCATTTCCAATACTTGTATTTAATTTTCCCCAAATGTATACATACATTGTCTTCAGAATGTGAGGGTGACCATTGCCCTGGATGGCCATCCTCCTCATGTAACAGGGAAAAGGTGAAATAAAATGTGTAAAAAAAAAAAAAAAAAGATATGTTGATAGACCTGAAATTGGATCTGTATCAATATATTTTTAAAGTTCTACAAGTGCTGTTTTGGACTGTCCATGTTTCTCTCAAAATACATCAACATAGTGAAGTAATCAGGAGGACCAAGACGCGTGGTGGACGGTCATTCATTTTTAAATTTTACTTTTACATGCTATTAATCAATGTCGATAGACCTGAAATTTGATCTGTGCATATATATTTAAAGTTCTGCAGGTTCTGGTTTGGACACTTTTTGGTAATTTTAGAAACGGCTTCTATTCACATCTATAATGATTCATACTTCCATACTTTAAGGAGTGTTTTTACGCCACTTTAAACAGTAGTTCAGTTATATTACGTCATGTTATCTTCATGTGGGAGGAGAGCTAGAAGTGATAGAGACCTGAGACATTTATTAAGTTTGTGAAACCCACCAACCCACGATCGTATGATCCCAGCACGCTCTGCACAGTGTATTGCAGCACCTTAAACGACTGGGCGACCCGTGGCGGGCCAATTGTAGAATATTACTATGCCGTGCTTGTCAAATATAGAACGTAAATACAAAACCGTGGCTCAATTTCACTTTGGGATGAGGTGAAATGGGGTGTTACATGGCGTTCAAGATTACTTCCCTTATCAGTGACGTGTGTGTGGCTGCATGTATTGTCCAGACTTGAGCCAGGTTTATATTGTTTGCCGCAGTTTAGCATGGATACTCCACTCAGACAGATTATGCTTACTCCGAGCATACCAGTTTTTGTTTTATCCCCTTGAGGCCGAAAGGTATGTCATCTTCTAGAGTATTTTTGTATGATGCGACCAGGGGATCGAACACTAAGCTCCTGCTCTCCCCACTCCACGACCGGTGATGTTTTCAACCAGTTGACTGCAATGGTATAAACATATCATGATGACGTCATGGCAGATGGCGACTCACGTTCAGGTCCCAATATATCAATATAATCAAGGATCTCCTGATATAATCACCGAATATAACCATGGACTAATCAATATAATCAAGGACCTACAATATATTCAAGGACCTACCAATATAGTCAAGGACCTACCAATATAATCATAGCCCTCCCAATATAATCAAGGACCTCCCAATATTATCGTCTCCAAAATGATCACAGGTGATGCTTGGTATAAAAGACACAATTCAACAGTGATAAAGCATGGACCAACTTTCCATGTTACAGACAAACAGCATTTTTGTCTTCTTATTTTCATTGAACTGTTTAAGTCCGGGCATTTACTTGAGGCCGGCGTTAAGTCCCAACTTTCACTTAGAAAACTACACAGCAACAGCCTGGTCTTGGAGCACGACTACATCTACTATAATATACCACGGTACTCCTTGCTAGAGATGTTCTCAAGGGAAACAAAAACACAATGTCAGCTGTTTGGGGCAAGCTATTCTCCTCTGGACCTGCCCTGCAGATCTGAAACTATGTCTGTATATGTGCAACACTGGGACAGAAATATGTCAGCATCAAGGTCTTGTAATACATCACATGGTTATATTATGCATCCAATGTTATCCAACTTATTATATCTCTATTCTGTAATGAATAACACCCCAGACACATTTGCCGTCAAAGCTTCGTTTCAGTAGTGACATGCCCATCTCCATCTCTCCTATTACTAAGACCACATTCTGCATGCCCTCCTCACTGACAGACACCCCTGTCTTCCCCTCCAATCACCATCTCCTCCTCACTGACAGACACCCCTGTCTTCCCCTCACATCACCTTCTCCTCCTCACTGACAGACATCCATGGCTTCCCCTCGCATCACCTTCTCCCCCTCAGTGACAGACACACCTGTCTTCGCCTCGCATCACCTTCTCCCCCTCAGTGACAGACACACCTGTCTTCGCCTCGCATCACCTTCTCCTCAGTGACAGACACACCTGTCTTCGCCTCGCATCACCTTCTCCTCAGTGACAGACACACCTGTCTTCGCCTCGCATCACCTTCTCCTCAGTGACAGACACACCTGTCTTCGCCTCGCATCACCTTCTCCTCAGTGACAGACACACCTGTCTTCGCCTCGCATCACCTTCTCCTCAGTGACAGACACACCTGTCTTCGCCTCGCATCACCTTCTCCTCAGTGACAGACACACCTGTCTTCGCCTCGCATCACCTTCTCCTCAGTGACAGACACACCTGTCTTCGCCTCGCATCACCTTCTCCTCCTCAGTGACAGACACACCTGTCTTCGCCTCACATCACCTTCTCCTCCTCAGTGACAGACACCCCTGTCTTCCCCTCGCATCACCTTCTCCTCCTCAGTGACAGACACACCTGTCTTCGCCTCGCATCACCTTCTCCTCCTCACTGACAGACACACCTGTCTTCCCCATCTGGGATTTGAACCCACGATCATACGATTCCGGCACTCAGCTCTGCACATCGTGTTTAGTAACTCTTCAATCCTTGAAAATATTGGGCTTCAGATCCATGGAGACTACAGACTCCTCTCCTTAAAACACATCAGTACCGTAAATACTTTGAGAGTTGTCATACTGATGTTTGCAACGTTGAACAAAACTAACCCATTCCGTGAAATCAGAACTATTTTGAACACTCATAGAAATGAACTATAATATACTTAACAAGTTTAGAAAGTCATCTAAATAAAAGCGACAAAAGCCTTTCCATATTCGTAAGACATCTTTCTTAAAAGCAGGGTCGATTGTTCAGTTCCGACTGTGTCAAGAGCAGGTGTTTATGAATCGTTATCAATAGTGATGATACCAGGTGTTCGCGATAACCACCGGTACAAGTTGTTATGTTATTATTCGGAATCATGTCTAGTACCGCGGCTTTATTTCGCTTTATTTCGTAATGACCGAGCTGTAAAGGTTGTGTATGTTCGCTGGGAAACTCAGTGACCAATACTTCATACCTCAGAGGGACGTGCATTTCTTGTGTCCGAAGTCTCATGTAAGGAATTTCCTGTTTAGTGATTTAATACTTCAATTGTTTTAAGAAAAAAAATCAATCATACAAATGTTTTCTTAAACCAAAGACAGGGTAAGTTGTATCTTGTGATGTCTAAGCAATGAGTGAGTGAATGAGTTTTGAAAGAAATCGTTTCAGATGTATGATGACTCACTTTTGTAGCGCCAC